ACTCCAACCATCTTAGCCGTCCTCGCCATTATTTCGTCCAGGGCTTCGAACCGGAACAGAACCGAAAAAAACCGATATTTTAGCCGGAACGAAACTCGGAACTGAACCGAAATATTTTTTGCTTGCCGAACCGAAAACCGGAACGAAAAAAATAACGTTCCGGTTCGAAGCCGTTAATATATTTTTTATAACGAGCACTTCTATAAATAGAAGACATTTTATTAATTAGAGGAAATTTTCATCTGTTTTAGTCATTGTATATAAATATATACTTTTGTTTTCTGAGAAATGTTATGCATTTTTATACTTTGTTTCCATTTGCTGGCTAAAAAAATATTTGAACACAATTTTTTGTATATTTAGAAACTTAAAAAATTCATGACTAATAGTTTCTTAATGAGTTGAAATTTAATTAACAATGATATGTCAATAACTAGAATATACGATACACGCGATACCGGCAACATTTACAATTAAACGCAATTAAATATAATTAATTAAATATATATTGGCCGCAAATTTATTAGCGCGCTCCACCACGTAATGTCAAAAAAATTCACTTTTCATTTCTTGTCTGGAAGATAATTAATTTTTTTCGCTAAGTTTCGTGATTATTGCATTCAGAATTATTTGTTACGGAATTTTTAATTTAAAATTTTTTATTAAAATTGAAAATTAATTTGGCTTCTTATCAATAATTTTACATCATTTTATAAGTGTTCTTTACTTTGCTTTACAAATTTGCGCCAGTAGGATTGTGATGACCATTTACAAAATTTAATAACTTTGATGGGCAAAAACGTTTCCCGGAACTGAACCGATAACCGGAACCGAACCAAAATTTTATCTGGAACGAAAACCGGAACTGAACCGAATATATTTTGTTAGTCGAACCGAAACCGAAAACCGGAACAAAAAAAATTACGGTTCGAAGCCCTGATTTCGTCATCGTCGTTGTCATCATAGTTATGGTTATTTAATAGCAGTTAATAACCCGTGACAGACTGGTCATCATGGAAAAACATTTCCAAAACTATAAAATCATTTCTGGATCAGTCCATTATAGATCAGATGTCGGAGATGCTGTGAGCAATTATTTTTAATCAGTTACTCAGTGACCGGGTTCAATGCATTTACTTAAAATATAACGAAACGAAACGAAAGGAAACGTTTGACTGTACCAGATATTACTACATGTCAGTCTCAACACAACAGCTTACGTAGCATTAGCGTTTATTCTCAAGAACTGTGCGTGTGCATGCGATTTTATCAAGAATGCATCTAAAAGAATAATCCGGAATGCATCTAAAAGAATAATCCTCTTTGGGATATTAATCTGAGGAAGATAATAGTATACAATGCTACAGGTGGAAGATACTATAAAACATGTTGCAAACTATATTCAGAAGTAATATATGGCGCAACATATTGCATATACATGATTCAGTTGTATGTGCATATGTATACACATATGAATCAGATCAGATGAAAATGTCACATAATATAGTGGATGGGATTTATATATTAACGGCAAAGCCTAAATAATAACTTGTGGATAAAATTAATCAAAAATTAATCTAGATCTGAACGAAAAGCAATCACATTAGAAACATGTCAGCACATAAACTAATTTTTGACTACTACACCAGAGCAAAATTTGTGATTTGTGTGAATTAGTTCTGACCTGTTTAAATTCTTCAATAAAAATGAGCAAGATGAACAATTTATTTCAAATTTCTAACGTTATTTCAGCAACTGAACATTGCACAGGATATTGAAGAAGGATGGGTGGAGCTAATGCAAGTCAATAAAAATGAATGTTTAGTATTCCATTTTTTTTTCTACACTCTGATGTCTATCCTTGTCACATGGTGTCACATCCATCACGTCTTCGATGATGAACAATGCCAGTTGGAATGATGATACAGACATTTTATTTTATTTTAAGATGTTTGAATTAATTTATGGATTCAAGAAAGACATAGCAAGAAAGATGAAGTTATTTGCTACAACAAAATTTTCTTTGCATAGATAGAATAAACAATAACAAACATGCGTCATATAATATTTGAAAAAATTAAATCAAGTCAATGAGTTTAATAGAAAACTTCCAAGCAGATGTTTTCATTCATTCCAAGTGAATGACTGAATGAGTTAAAGAAAAGCAAAAGATGAATAAATGAATAAACGAAAATGTAAGAACAAGTCAGAATGATAATGAATGGTATGCAACATTTTAACATTGTAGAACGTTGCAATGAAAATTATTTTTAAGTAAATCTCGTGTATGCCAAACAAACATGCGTATAAAATGCATACAAAAAATTATATCATATATACATGTGTGAGTGTGTGCGTTTAAGTGTGTGCCTTTGTGTGTGTGTGTGTGTGTGTGTGTGTGTGTGTGTGTGTGTGTGTGTGTGTGTGTGTGTGTGTGTGTGTGTGTGTGTGTGTGTGAGTGTGATATGTGAACACACTTTATTCTATGTCTCAAACTGATCTGGATGTTGGTGAACATTATAAAGCCATAAATCTTCATAGAAAAAATTAACATGAAAAAGAGGATGGTGGAACATAAAAAAAGAAGCAAAGATATTGTTTACACCAAACCTGACTGACATAAATAATATATTGTACATATTTCTATGGCTAATAAAGTTACAAGTAACAAAAATGAAGCTTGGTAAAATTGTTATTGCTGTTACATTCCTATGTCAGTTGTTTGAAGATTAAGGAAAAATACTAAAAATTACAAACAGCTAATGATCTTAACAGCAAACATGCCTAGAAATGGGTTCACATGATGTTTGCAAGCTGCATATAATTGCTCATTTATTATTACTTATCTAGGAAAATTATACATAAAATTTTACTACCAACGAAAAAATAAAAAACTTATAAACATTAGCAACACTTAAGAAATCTCAGTCCTCCCATACACAAACGCTGTCCTCATCACTCATCTTCTTTGATTAGATGCTCATCAAATTGCTCCAACCTTTTACCAACACCATCCTGACAAAACCAGCAACACTGAGGAAGAATGTTCTATGAGGTTGCAAGATTTGAAACTATAGAAGAGTCTCAAGCAAATGAAAACAGCCCACACAACAACAACAATAATAATAACAACAACAACAAATGAAGAGATCCTGAAAATCAACACTACTATTGCTACTATTACTGCACTACTATTGCAACTATTGCTGCTACTACTACAACTACACTTCACCTAATGAAAGACAATCAAGTATTTCTATATATTGAGGAACTAACAATGCTATGGACATGTTAAAATCAATGCAAAATCAATAAGATGGAGAGAGGATGATAGGGATGATGATGATGATGGAATTGAGGATGGTGGCGATGATTAGTGATGGTGATAATAGTGGTGATAGTATATGAACAGTTTGAACACTGAGAGTATTGTTACCATGAAATTTGCGTTGGGTTTGTGGAACTATTTCAATTATATGCACCCACCGAATGTGTAAAATTTGTTTGTATGTATGTAGACAAACATGCATGTACATTGTACAGTACATTGTACACCTGTTGGAGATATTAATGTGAGGAAAGACTCAAAAACACCATGTTCCTAGAAGCTGCAGAGAAATGGGAAAAAATATTACACAAAAGGGATAAAATGAAAGAAAAAGCATGCATAGAAATGAAAACAAAGAAGGTTGAAGACAAAATTTGAACAGAAGATCAAACTGAAAAATTAAACAAAGAGTAGCAAAGAGCTGCAGAAAGAAGTTTTGCATATATATTGGCTAATTTCAAGCATTGTTGTTGATATAAATAGTTGCACCAACTTGCCATAAAACATTTCTGCTCTCAAAATATTTTTTCAGCATCGGAATGATGAATGAAAAATAAAAAAAACATATAAAAATGAAACAAGTTCTTGAGAAGATAGATGAAAATTTTATGTTTCACTCATCCTCCTCATCATCATCATCGACATCGTCATTATCCGTCATCATTATCATCATCACCAACACCATCATCATCATAATGGAGAAACATGACATGAACACACACACATACACACACACCATCACATGATCACATTTCAGGGCCATCTTTCAATGATAACAACACAACAAGTAGTTTAAAAATAATTCTTGTCTGTGCAGATATCACAAAGGAAAGGTCAAAAAAAGATGAATGTTTCATGAATAAATTGAAGTAAAAACAAGCAAACAAGAATGAATGATGAATGAACGATTGAATGAACAAATTATTGAGTGACTGATTGAATAAACTGATAAATGAATGAATAAATAACTGAAACCAAAGAATGAAAGACAATAACACCTAGTCAACAAATAATTAAACAAAACATTCATTGAAAATCAACCACAGACCATCTATTTGAAGAATGGCTGAGTAATAATAAAGTTTTCAACGAAGTAGCCAAATGTTAAAACAAAAATAACTACTGATGAGTTTTTTAAACCAAACAAATGAGAAAATTTTCATTACAATTATTATTACTATCCATATAATTATTAATATTAAAATTTTATTATTATTACAAATATGTGAAAATAAATGATGAAACATACTGGCATATTTAGAGTTATTCTCTGACACAGACCAGAAGCAATGATCAAAAGCAAAAGTCTGTGGAATTGAAATATAGAAAATTGATAAAAAAATTTATAATAGAAATACTTCAACATTTTTTTTTAAATCAACTGAAATGAAATATTTTTTAAAGGAAATTAATAATATCATGTAGATAAATAAAAAAAATAAATAATAAATAATATCCTGGTCATTAAATTTTTTTTATAACATTGTCAAATGCTAATCAAAACAAACTTTGGGTATATTTTTTGGGTTAACATGGCCTCCATCGTTTCTGAAAATATTTTGTAATTATTGAAAAATAATAATCCTGAGTCAGAATAATTGAATAAATTAAAATTAATAAATAAAAAGGGACATTTTTTCATGACTTATGATTGACTGAAATTAAAAAAAAATTACCCATCTTTGATTCCAAAATTAGGGTTGTATAAAAATGTCTGGGAGCTGTCCATATCCACCACATATTTGGCCCCCAGTTCAATTTCTGAAAGTTAAAAGTTAATTTTTATATCAGTTAATACTGCTAAGTTAAGTTAAGATTTAAGATTAATTAAATATATTGAATTAATCATACAATCATTATATTTTTCATCCCAAATATATTACTTTAAATTAAATATTAAAAGCATTAAAATAGCAGAACAAAAGGCAAAAGAAGTTAATTGATTTCAGCGACAGATGAGATATTGATATTAGAAATGTTTTATCAAAAATAAATAAATAATCATTAAAAAAATATTAATTTAAAAAAATTAGTAATAACTAATTTAATCTTAAATTTTTTGAAAGTCAATCATTTATAAAATAAATTTATTTATAAAATAATTTCATTAATTAATTTTATATTTTTCACTTTTTTACATTTATAATTTATTTTATATAATCAATAATGATAATCTTTCTTTAATATACAAAAAAATTAATAACTAGAGTAGATCACAAAATTAATTAACCATCATAAATTAATTATGAGATGCGACAACATGAATAGATGATTTTTATATTTAATAATCAGCGAGAAAATGCAATAAATAAAGTAAAGGGAGTGTGGGTAGAAAATGGATGACGGATCAGCTGTTGTCCACGGACACCAACCTCGTCTATTGAGGGGCCTGACGCGGACAGCCACCTTCACTTTATCCGTGGACACCATTAGTGAAATGAAATAATTATCCGAGTTTACAGAGCTGTGATTAAATGTCTGGAAAAAAATGGTTCAATCATATTTTAAAATTCCATTTAATGACGATCACTCCGATCCAACTCGCACGCAAGTATTTTAATGAGCTTCCGCTAAATATCGATCTAAACATAATAATATAAACAAACAGTTTTCTACTAGCGCTTCATTCTTTGTCATTTTCTTAATTCAATAATCTATTTCGTTATTCAGATGTTTACCTGTTAACTTTTGACTCATTCATTTCAAAAATTTTCACACTATAAAATAATACAGCTAAGAATTTAAGTTCGTTGAGAAATTGAAGGTTTATAATAATAAAAAACATCACTGGCTTACTGAACGCTGTCCAGAATGACATCATCATACAGTACACACATGTTGTATCAGTACATAGGCATGCATATAAAATATACATTACTCTCTACTGTATATATGTGGACTGGACACAGACACAAATATATGACAATCATCGTACACCTGCTTATATAGAGTTTTAATAATTTCTTTTCGTAACAATTAAATATCAAATTTGTTCTTTGATTGAGGTTCAGCACTTCACTGATACGTCCTATAAAAAAAAAGCAACAACTTTAGTAACTTGCAATTGTTCAAGTGAATATCAAGTGAAATATTAACTGATTTGCGGAAAAATGTCTGAAATGTCAAAATTTCGATGCTGTTAGCACTAATAGGTGTGAAAGCGTCTAAGGTTTTTTTCGAAGTTATCAACAAATATTGTTTTTCAAGTCAAACTGATGTCATTGCTTTCTTCTTATCAAAATTTAAGTCGGTACGTTCCCGCCATTTCTCTCCAAATTCCTTACAAAACCAATTAACTGTCTAGTCTTCATGCTCATATGAATTATAAACTGGTCAATAGTTTTAGTTTAAAAACGAACCGCTGTGTAGGAAGTGATCAAATCACACCACAATCTTGCTTATCCAACTAGACCCAGTGCTATTGCATTCGTATATTTTATGTGAGCAGGGTAGTCTTTTTCCACGATAATGTATATATTTCTGAAATTCTTAATTTTCTGATTCACTCACAATGTGTCAGGCTTCCTGTTTAAATTTTACAATGTCTAAGAGAACCGGCGTTCTGAATTTCCCAGTTTTTGCAGTTTTACATGACATAAACAAAACTATCAGTTATTTTTGGGAAAATTTTGCAGTTGCGATTTTGGCACTACTATCAGCATAAAAAATATCGACGCTAATTTTCATTCGTAGTGACGCATTTGAACACAAGTTTGTTTTAATACATCTTAACATAGATAAACTGTATCTACGTACAAGCTGCATAACAAGCAGGCACTTGTGTTTGAGTATTGAAATAATTTGAATGACATAGAAATGATATCAACTACTCGATAAGAGGTATCAGCGCGTAACCGATGCAATCAAACACTTCATTCAATCAGCGAGCACCTGGCAGCCATGGAAACCTGATAACAAACAACTCTGTCCTTTAAATTGCACTTCCATGTTCACGTGCGTTCGCTTGTATGAAGTAAGTAGCACGGTGCCTGCCTGCCAATACGCTACATACATCAATTCATATTTTCATTAGGTTAGTTAACATTTGAATAATTCAATGCATTGTATAGGTGAGTGCATCTTTGAGTGGACTTGTGTTCGCGGCACGTACGCATTTTAATGTAATTATGTGCACACAAACACAGCAGACGCAGAAGAGACTCACTTATTGAGTCATCGTGTGAAAGATCATCAGATTTATTGAGCAGCGTTATTAATAATTCATGAAGATATCATGTTCCACGTGTCAATCAATCACCGATACAATTTTCCTGTTCTCTTCTATAATAGTAGGGTGTGGGTGGTTGAGGTTGCAAGTCTAGTTGTAACTTTTTCTGTACTGTGTTTAACTTTTATTTCTATTCGTATGTGTGCCATTATGCTAATTATATTATTATGCTAAATTATTATGCTAATGTTACCTTCACTGCTACAACTGCTTCCGTCAACCATAACCACTTTTTCAGGGTCGTCACCAACATTAATTTTTTAAACTTACTGAGTTGAACTTCCTAACACATTTCAACATTCGTTTACTACAATGTAAATATTGTTTCAATTTACTACTGCCACAAAGGCTATCTTGACTAATGTACCACAACTTTAATTACTACATAGGAGTACCACAACAAAACGAACGATACTTCTACAGCAACTAACACTGCGACTCACAGGCACGTAGCAAATGCAGACGTATGGAAAACTCTCAGGCGACGTGAATGAGAGGACTGATGGTCACTAAATTATCATTTGCTAATTGGCAGTTAGTGGTCACTGGCTGGTCGGTTTCTTTATAGGCCATAAAACACTTGCTCAATATGTTCATGGTCATGGGCGTGCGTTATGTATGCACGTGTGTGTACGAGTGTGCGTGAGTGTTTATGTGTGTATGTATGCATGTGTGTGAGAGCGAGTATGTGTGTATGTATTTATGCTTTTTGTTTTCGAATTTTAGTGCTTCTTCGTTTTCATTTTTTATAAGAGAGAGAGAGAGAGAGAGAGAGAGAAAGAGAGCGAGAGAGAGAGAGGGAGGGAAAGAGAAAGAAAGCGAAAACGAAATCATTTCGTTAAGTGTATTTTTAAAAATGTATGCGTGCCAGCCAGGCAGCTAGCCACCGTGGCACCTCCATCAAAGAGACCCTCAGGTGTTTTCAAATGTTCATCTCACCCACCTTCAACATTTTTACGAGTGGTGAACGCTTAAGTTTGCACGTGAACGCAAGATTCTTGTTTGCTCTGTTTATAAACGTTTGTTCATGTTCACGCACAATGCATTAACACGTGTTCTTGTGTTTATGCATGGTTTTCTCCTGTTTATTCATAATGATGTTATTACTACTATTTTAATACTTTCAATATAGAGATCTTGCTACTTGTTTATAGTAACATTTCTGTATCATTATTAGTAATATTACTAATAAGAATAATTATTATTTATAGTAAAAAATTGTTTATATTATAACTTTTATTGCATTGTTAACCACTATTGCTGATACTAATGCCTGCGTTTTTCGTTACAAACATTGCATAAGTGTATTTTCATTTATGAATCAATTTATGCATGGGATAAACAAATGCAAACGTTTTTCGTTTTTCGTTTTAAATTATGAAGCAAATGTAATGCTGAAAGAATGGATTAGAAATTGACTATACTTGTTATTAACATACCTAACCAAGAAGACTTAACAATTACATTCCTGTCACGATGTCTTGTTTTTTAATTTTCTGTACAAATTTGCCTCTCATAGAATCAGTTCAGTCGCACACAACAAAAATTAATTTCTGAGTTATGCTGATTTTACATGAAAGGATGACAATGAATGAAGTGGGATTTAGTTTAAAAAAATAAAAAAAACATCACATAGTCAATATGATTAAAGCTTTCAAACCTTTATAAAAAAATTTCATTACAATACTGGCCATTATATTTAAAAGTATAACATTAACGTGCCAACCATACAAACCATTATGAATCAATTTATGCATGGGATTTAATAAGCCTGTATGGGCACATACATTCAACGAAACTAATGTACATACTACAGCTACAACGAACGAATAGGCATGTTCTCTTATCAATCAAGCATTATTATCAACCTGTGTTAGTTTATTTTAACTTTGTGTAAACTGCGAGAGTATAATGTCACATCATAGCAATGATGCAAATGTCATCAAACACGATGATGAAGATGATGATGACGACGTTGATATTGATAATGAAGCTCAATTATATGGAGTAAATTATTTGCTTAATTACAATGGCGATGGTGGCAATGGAAGATGTGATGATAATGGAAGATGCGCTGAGGAAGTTAATTTGGAGTCCGCAATGCAAGAAATTGATCAGGTTACGTTGGAGTTGGTGGATTTGGATAATCGAAACATTCATTAACGTTCACGAGCATGTTAAACCAGCGTGTATTTCCTAGATTCAGTGATTCTATCCACACAATTTTTTTAACAATTTCGTTATATTATCAATTATCTTTCTTTTTCTGCTGTTAACAATTTCGTTGCATTATCAATTATCTTTCTTTTTCTGCTCTTAACAAATTCGTTATATTATCAATTATCTTTCATTTTTTATCTTGCCCATGTATCATCGTTTTTTTTTAATTAGTTCGTGTGACAGCATTAAACGTTAAGTTGCGTAAAAAAACATGGTAAATTTTTGTTAATTTGTTTCATGCTAACATCATGGATCATATAATTTAACGTTTAGCGTTTAAATTTTTTTTAAATGTTCCTTATTTCCCGAGCAGTTAGTTCAGTGTAATCTGATAGGTAACCATAAAGCCGAGGAGATGAAGAAGTTGTACGCTGCATTCTATGAAAATTATCTCTTGTTAGTGTCATATTATTAACTTCATTACATCATAACGCAGATCATTTGTTATATAAATACATTGGCGGTTTTTAAAATTGTTTTTCATCATTAATTATTATCAGCAGTTATTGAGAGAGAGAGAGAGAGAGAGGAGAGAGAAAAAGAGAGAGAGACAAAGAGAGAGAGAGAGAGTGAGAGAGAGAGACAGACAGAGAGAAGAGGAGCTACCAAACTTTAAACATTATAAGTCTATCGAATCTTAGATTACTTAGAATAAATTGAAACGTTCTTCTTTCTGCGCCAGTCGTAAGAGGTCGGAGAGGCAGACGTTGGAACGAGCAAAGAAGTACTTCAACTTACTGACACAGCTGCATGAGAGCCACGAACAAATAGACATCAATGGTGGCAATGATGAAGCAATTGAAGTTGCAAACGATGACAACGACACCAAAGAGGATTTGAGTGCATTCAAAACATTGAAGGAAGAAATGTTGCAATGTTCACAAAATTTGCTGCTGAGTGAAATGAAGAACGAGGAACTGGACCTGGTCCTTGAAAAGTCATTTCATATCATAATTCATGATCGTTCTATTGTGATTTTGTATTTTTGTCAATATAGTTTGAAAGTTGAGAAGGAGTCGTTGTCAAACGAGCTGATTCCATCAACAAGAAGAGAGAAAGTAATACAATTGAAAAATATTTACACTGCATATACATTCGTTTAATGCACTGAGCATGTGGTCTATGTTGTGATAGAATGATAACGATTAAATATAAGCATTACAAAATAAACTACACATCCACCACCAACCAACTAACTTCCAGGATGAAAAGGAAGAGGAAAACGAAAAAGAGGAGTCACTTGAAGCACGCACAATGGGCGATATTAATCAGTTAAAATCTGAAGTTCAAGAAATTAACCAGGAAATTGGTGACTTGAAAAGTTTATCTCGCACAAAAATGGAAGAAATACTTCAACTAAAACAGGATTTGACATGCTTGGAGGTAACTGTTTTGAACAATTTTATGTTTTGAACAGTATATCAGTGCATTAGTAACGTATGTATGTAATAAACAACATGAAATTTTGCTAAGAGGCAAACACAAATCTGAACTAAATTTTGAAAAAATGTTTAAATTAATAAAAAGAAAGATGAAGTATAAAGAAATTAGGATAATAATGTAAAATTAAAAGCGAATAAAATTACGAAATTATATCAAGTTTTGAAGCAGCATTCATTAATCAAATGTCGCTGGTCAGGACGTGTAGACATGCATCCGATGAATAATGAATGTGCAAATGATGGAAGGTGAAAGGCGGTTTGCAGTTAGCAGGAAATAATTGCATTCAGTTTGACAAGTGATTGATGTAATGAGTGAGTTGTCGCTTAGCCAACTAAACAACATTTGAAAAAATATATATCGCCATTTAATGTTTTGTTGAAAAAATAATAAATGAAATCCTTAATAATATTATTATAAAATTATTTGCAATAAATCTTCAATCAAGATATTAATAGTTGATAAATCGCTAAAATTAACCAGCAAAATTTTTACGATGAATGTTCGAAAAGTAAGAGGACAGATGAGGATGTCATGATCGTCACAAACAACAAAAGGTGTCTATTTAATTTTGTCCATTCAATTCACTTAAATGAAAATTTATTGCTTGTAAATTAAATTTTTTATGAAGTGATGTGGAAAAAATATTGGCGCAAAAAATAAAAGAATTGGAATGTAATCAGCTGAGTTTGTTGAAAACCAACGAACATTTGATAAGAAGCATCAATGAAAATTACGAACTTTCAAACGATTTGAACGAATTAACAGCGAATAATGATCTCTTCAGTGAGAAATTCAAACAACTCGAAAAAGAACAAGCCAACGAGAAGAACCGTGCCGACAAATTGATGGAAGATAGGTTAGTAACTCACCATGATCAAGGTACGTCAACATCTATATAAATAAAAAAAAATACCTAACTAAAACCACAAGTTGTGAAAGTTTTATTAAGTTCTCTTAAAAGTACTTAAAAATTGAAAATGTTCAATAAGTTATATGGATTATCTGGAACATTTAGACGTTTTTTGTTATATAAACTTATCTAAAATAAATTAGTCATTATTTTAAAACAAGAGAATTGTAAATAACTGAAATTTCGGTAAATAAATTGTCTCAATTGAATGACGACACAGTCGACAGCTGGAGATAAACATGAAGAACGCCGCAGATCAAAAATGTTTGGAGTTTGTGAAGCTGGTGAAGTTGAAGAAAGAATATGTTTTTGTTTTGAAAGAATTAAGAAAGGCACAAGCAAAATTAGATTCAACGGAAAATACGTACAAATTTATTGAAGAGAATTATAAAAAATTACTTAACCAAGTATAATTAGGATGATAATTTCATAACAAACGACTTTATTTAATTTTTTCTTAACAACGCACCAGAAATCTGCAGTTGCCATAACTGATGAGAAACGCTTTGAAAAATTGAAGGAAAAAATTAAGAACGATGTACTGAGAGCCAAAGAGGAGTTGCAGGATCAAGTAACTTGATTATAGTTGATTTGTTTGTATAATTGTTCTAGTTCTATTTTCATGTAAAATCCCATCAGCTATGAAAAAGCGTAGCTACATACACTAAGCTGATGTTACGTATTTCAAATGAAATGCTAATTTTACCTTCTTTTTCGCAGAAGTAGTTTGTCGAAACACACGATGTAGGTAGCGAAATCATCCATGCGTGAAACAAAGCGACATATAGCGAGTTGTATTTTGTAAGCAACATATCTACAAGATTGGTGGCTTATCATTTGCCTGAGTCAAACAGTCAAATTTTTTTCAATTTTTTTCTTAAATAGTTGAGAACTTGTTAAGAAAGTTCATGGATTGTTGAGTAGTGGCAAATTGTATCAAATTAAAACGTTACATGGCTATCTTGTGTCGCTTAAGTATAGGTTAAAAAAGTTATTGTAATAAGTTAATAAATTTCTTCACGCTTCTACA